TCCAAAAACATTCAGCTTTGATATTAATGAGTTTTTTGGGTTCATTGAGAACATGGTTGTTGTTCAATAATAAAATTATTCCTCAAAAATACAACTTGTCTAATAATTCTGCACTCCCTGTATTTTTAGGAAATGCTGGTAAAAAAACAAGACTTTCCATGGCTTCATAGTGCTGCTGAAGGCCAAGGTGATGCAATCCAGTTTAAGTATCAGGTTATATTTTTAGGGCCGAGTAATACATTCAGTAAGAAGCAGGAAATTAGAGATCACCTGATCATTTATGTCTTTAAGAGATTTCTCCAGTTTAACTCATTAATGTGGGTCATCATATAATGATACAACCTAAGGGAAGCATCTATAAACTAAATGAAACATGCCTCGGGTGAGCATCAACCTCAGATTATTAAACTGACACGTTGCTTAATGCGCCAACTTGCACTTGAAACTCCACTGTATCCACAGCCCTGACACAGCAACAGGAAAAGTTGGGAACAATTTTGAGGACCCATGCAAGACTTCAGATGGCTTCTAAAATGTGTATATCGTACCCGTCCGGCAAAATACATTAGTGTAACTTCAGGGCAAGCTAACCTGTTTATCCTATATTAAATTGCCAAGTAGATTCATGAAACCTGTTTTTCAGGACATTTCACAATATGAAAAAAACCTTCACATCAGTGTGAATTGGTCCACTAAAACTACACTAAACTAAAAGAATCGAGATACCTAAATTATGACTAAATGTCATAGTAGACTATCAATATAATTAAATGAAAATTTGCTGTCAAAGTGAACCTTGAATCATACAGATCCAATATCTGATTTACGAATAAGGACTTTACAGATCGGCTTTCCATTTTCAGTTTATTAAATCTTGCAGAGTAGTCCTTACCTCTAAATATAACCTCTCTCCTCTGTGAATATTACTAAACAAATAAAATCAATTGTCTTGACATGTTGACCTTAAGTCGATTTACCACAAATACTCGAAACACCTCCCGGATTAAAGCGTGCATTGAGTGGGCACATAACTGTTAATCTGTGTGATAACTAAAAACGCACTGAGCATGTATCGTCTCTCCACACAGCCATTCACTGGTGCAGCGCACGTTTAAGACGGTGGATTTCTACGGAAAGTACCAGGACAACATGACTCCTGTGGGTCTGGCCTTCTTCCAATGCCAGTGTGATCAGTATGTGACAGATACCGTGCACAACACAAGACACATCACATAACAACACAATACATGCTGGAACCTGCACGTCTCTCTAACGCGTTCATCTAAGTTGGGCCAGGATTTTTGTGACAGCTGGAAATGTGAGTTTAACGGTTTGCTTTCCTGCATCTTCTCCCTGCAGACATGAGGAAACGTGTCAAATACCGGCAGCCCCTACGCTAGCTGGAAAGATACAGAGATGGAAAAGAGCACAACTATGGAATGTACTGGTTATGCAACACATGCATATTTGAGAAAACGTCAACAACTATGTGGACAATGTTTGTCATATTTATGTCATGATTGTAAAAATAAAGTAAATTTCAGCAGCACTGGTGTTGCTTTAAAGTTTGCTTTGTTAAAGACCATATATAATATGTCACATAGCTCCACATCTTCATTTTAAGCATTTCTAGCAAACAATGGGAGATTGACGATGGCTCCTGGGCTAGGCAGATCCTCACGTACTAATGAATATTTAATGAATTGGAAAAAAGGGAGGGAGCGTGGGGCACAAAAGCTTGTAGAATCTGATTATAGCCATGACTCATATTTGCCTGCATATGCTTATCAATTATAGCTGCCCATGTTTGCTTATGTGAAATGTCTCTTTACTGCCAGTTTAGATGGATTGCACTTACAGTTTAAAAACTTCTGCGTGCCTGTCTGAACAGAACAAAAAATACAAATATTTAAGTACAACATGCCCTCATATGTTTGAAAATTTGCTTCGTTTGACACTTATGTTAATTAACTTAGGAGTAG